TGTTCCTTTAATGTTAGTTTTGCATAATATCAGACGAAAAATGTCCCAAAGCATAGTTACAAGAATTTCAAGTAAGGCTGAAACTGCTGAAGAAAAATTAAAAGAACTAAGGTCAAAGGTACTTAACATAACCTAAATTATGGTGAATCGTAAATGCCTGTATTATGGTTAGCACCTAAATCTATAAATGGGCGGCTATAAAATTAAAACGATATTAAAGAAGAACGCAGGCGGTATAGTTTAATAATAAATAGAGGGGTCAGTGATTATCAATGAGTGTTCGCACAATTTCTATTATCAAAAGGGTTTCTACTCTCTGGATACATAAGCCTAGATCTAACTCACTTAAACCCAGCGTTAATGTTTCGGCTAAGTGTTTGCTAACCCATAGCATGGTAAAAATGAGATTTAAATCTCATATCACGGTGGCACATGCATGAGGGGCTAATATTCTTAATCTATTTATATTCTAGGAGCTATTCGAGGAGCTCGATGGCGCAAATGATTAGCTTGTTCGGCTGCGATCGTTAAAGTTAAGCAACTTTCGCAGTGGTCGGTCATTGGATGGGTGACTAAAAATTTATTACCTCTATCTCCTCTGTTCTTCGGAAGGCACGTTAAGCCGTTGGTCCCGGCTGCATCTGCAGTCGTTAGCACCCGCTAATCCGCACTGGGCCCGCATGGTAAGTCATGGCCTAATCTCCCTATTCCATCCATAGGGAAGGCCTGTGCCCCAGCAGTGGGGATATTAATAGGCTGATGATGATGATGATTTATATATTCTATATATATTATTTTTCAGTTGGAGGAAATAAAGAGCCTTAAAATCAATGAGAAAATAAGTCTGCTTTCAGCTGAAAATGAAATCCTGTCTACAAAAGTACAAAAAGCAAAAGACCAGTTAGTCAAACTTGAAATACGTAACGGTAAAAAACAGTATACCATACCAGGCAAGACTGCAACTCTTATTGTTAGCCAAACAGCAACTGAAAAGGCAGAAGTGCAAGAGAAAAATATAAACAAAAAGGAAAAAAAAGAGAAAGAGCAATCTAAAAAGTGCAATGATAAAAACAAACCTACTGAATCCAGTGATGTTATAGATATCCGAAAGTTAGATTTAAGAATTGGTAAAATTGTTGATATAAACAAACACCCTGATGCTGACTCTTTGTATGTTGAGCAAATAGACTGTGGAGAAGATAAACATCGTACTGTTGTTTCTGGTCTTGTAAATCATGTTCCTATTGAAGAAATGAGAAATAAAATAGTCATGGTTTTATGTAACTTGAAACCAGTAAAGGTAAGAGAGAAATTCAATATATCAAAGACTTCTTTTTCTAACAGTCAAATATTTAAAATAATATAACAAGAGAGTTCTGAATATGTATGGTGATTTAACTTTAGTTTAGTTTTTGCTTTTTTACACCTCACACATTAATTTATAGACCAGGGTCACGGTAATAATATCATACAGTATTCTATCTTCATACAAACGGTCGGAAAGCGAGTCATACCTACGCCACTCGAGTTCGATGTGCTCTCGGCGGGCACCCAGTCGCGATTGCGCCGCCGCGCCGTAACGACGACCGAACGGTCTGAATTGTTTTTTATGCAGTTAGCCGTGCTTAAACGTGCGTTTTGTATTGTAAATATTTGATTTAATTAAGTAGATACCTACATAATTTAGTATGGAAAAGAACAAACAACGATCAATATCGTACAACAGCACAATTGCTGTTTTTCGTTGCTTGAACTCTTCAATAACACACCCAGAGATATCATTTTTTAAATTACCTGAAATATTGGAAAGGTATCTTACCTTTATAAAATATTTTTTATATACCTATCTACTAGTACGTTATTTGTTTCTAATATTTAGGTATTTCGGTTTTTCCATCGGGCAAAATATCTGGAATAATATATAAATAAGTGGTTAGGATAAAAAAAGAGACAAAAGAGTAATCTACCTACACTCGCGTTAAAAACAAAACTACATAAAATACTGTAGGCTGGCGGCCCTACCGCGTGCCAACGCAGCGCTCGGTGTAGGCATTTATTTTCAAAGACAGGGCAGAGCCAGGGTTGATAAATAAAAATGTTAAAAAGTGAAAAAAAATTATAGTAGGATGAAACCCATTGGAAAAGGTAGAGAATATAACAAAAGTTAAAGGAATAATAAATTACGGGCGATCTGAGGTCGGGAAGGGGGAGGGGGTGAGTGTTTAAGGGTAAAAACCGGTTAATCTCGATTTCCGGGAAAACTGAAAGTCCTATGAAAAAAAGTTAAATGGCAAAGTTGTAGGTAATAAAAAGATCTACAACTTTTGTATTGACACTTTTTTCACATAACCTCAAAATCTATGTGAAAAATTCGAATAACCGAGTTTTTGGATTTTTATTTTTATTTTATGCAAAAAAAATATTTTTTTAACGAAATTTAGTGAACACTTACCTTTGTATGTCCCAAACATACAGCATTTTTTGAAGTTATACTTCTTTAGGCGCGTTATGAAAAAATGACGAGAGTGAAATTTTAAGATGCGCGCGCATCACTGTAACACAAAAATTAACGTTACTTTTGTGTTTACCGCACATTAAGAAAATCTACCAACAAAATAGAAATAGAATCTCTATTTAGTGGGTGCTAACGACTGCATTGTGAAGGCCTATCAAAAGTATTTATTAATCTGGAACAACGGAACCAAAGCGCGATTCAGGAGACTACAGCGCCATCTCTTGACCATTGGTGTAGTAGAACCAAAAACCACATCTTTATTTTTTGTAATAAAGTAACAGTTATAGGTATTCATATTTATAATATCTATAGTATTTATTAATCTGGAACAACGGAACCAAAGCGCGATTCAGGAGACTACAGCGCCATCTCTTTACCATTGGTGTAGTAGAACCAAAAACCACATCTTTATTTTTTGTAATAAAGTAACAGTTATAGGTATTCATATTTGTAATATTTATCCACATGTTTCTAGTTTGTATATTCGGAATACGTGTTTGAGTTTCATACAAGTGCAAATCACATATGTTCTAATAAATTGTATTCAGTAGCGATTTTAATTGAACATTTTGATTATTTATTTATTTTTTCAAATTAAAACTGAACTTTATTGACTGTGTCCTTTTCCAGACTTTTTATTAATTTATTGTAATTAATTATTTGCATGCAATTAAAAACTAATTTTAAACGATGCCAAAGAAGGATAACTTCTCACGCGCCTACATAAGTACACGCACCCATTTTTTTTTATTTAAAATATTAATTCCTCTTCAAATCTAACCCTTGCAGTCCCACTCCATTCAACTGATTTCTTTTCATATTCCTTCTCTGTGCATTCTGTTCGCTTGTGGAACTCACTACCTGAAACAATCCGAAAGGCTCGTACTCTAAGCTCGTTTAGTGATCAAGTTAGAGGTTATTTCCTTTCCCAACTTTAAGTCTTACCTCTCTCTTGTCTCTCTCTTTGTATATATCTATTACATCTATTATTTATTTTACCATACCTACTACACCCCCCCTTCTTGTTCCTCTTATTTATTTATTTCACTGTCATGGGTTGCCTGGAAGAGATTGCTGTTTAGCAATAAGGCCGCCTATTGTGTACGTTTTCACTGTCATATTTAATGTCTTGTATGTCCTGTGAGGTGTATGTCAATAAAGAATATTATTATTATTATTAATTTTTTCACCTTATTTTGACTTAATATCGAAAAAGCACCCTTATTTTCAATCGAAAATTCTCACGTCAAAAAATATCTGCTTTTTTAAAAAAGATGGTGTGTTTTTTGTTTGTTGAAATCTCTACTCTTTGATGGTATAAAAAACAATATACACTACTATGGTAAATGTTCTCAGAAACTGCAAATTAATAATGATAATAACTCGAATCCGGAAATCCTATTTTTAATACCTACTTACAACAACTATTTTTGCATGTTTTATGGATTTGTAATTTTTCTGTTTATCAATATAACATGAAATCTTACGTTTTTCGAATAATTAAAGTGTAAATTTTAATAAATAGTTCAAAATTATACATAATGATTCAAATCAATTTTTCGGATTGGAGTTTTTTTCATTATTAATTTGCAGTTTCTGAGAACATTTACCATAGTAGTGTATATTTTTTTATACCATCAGAAAGTAGAAATTTCAACAAACAAAAAACACATTAACTTTTTTTTAAAAGGAGATATTTTGACGTGAGAATTTTCGATTGAAAATTAGGGTGCTTTTTCGATATTAAGTCAAAATAAGGTGAAAGAATGAATATTTTAAATCAAAAAAAATACTGTATGTTTGGGACACACAAAGGTTAGTTTTCACTAAGTTTCGTGAAAGATTTTTTTTTGCAAATAATAAAAATAAAAAACTAAAAACTCGGTTATTCGAATTTTTCACATAGATTTTGAGGTTATGTGAAAAAAGTGTCTATACAAAAGTTGTACATCTTTTTATTACCTACAACTTTGCCATTTATTTTTTTTTCATAGGACTTGCAGTTTTATCGGAAATCGAGATTAACCGGTTTTTACCCTTAAAAACTCACCCCCTCCCCCTTCCCGACCTCAGATCGCCCGTAATTTATTTTTCCTTTTATTTTTGTTATATTCTCTACCTTTTCTAATGGGTTTCATCCTACTATAATTTTTTTTGGTCTCAAAAATTATCGACCCTGGTCTATTATAGGAACACTGTATTCACAATAAACGGGATGTGCATTAATTCTGCAAAACAGTTTTGTAAAACTATAGCAGATTTAATGTTTCACAATTGTATTTACAATGAACTTGTTCCAAATAAAGTTACAATATTATATTACATATCAATTATTATTATGCAGTTTCTGTAATAAATAAAGTTAAGAATTAAGCACTTGCTTCAACTTTTCTCTTCAAAACAAAGATTTAGTAATTACTGGACCAATACTCAAGGTGTGATGTATCTAACTACTAATCAGACCTGGTGTACATTTGATTTTTAGATGCGTGGAGTAACATCAGAAGCAATGGTGATGTGTGCTTCATCTCCTGAGAAAGTAGAAGTTTTAATACCTCCCAATGGAGCTATTCCAGGGGATTTGGTCACATGTGAAGGATATCCTCGAACACCTGAAGTACAACTTAATCCTAAGAAAAAAATATTTGAAACCTGTGCACCAGATTTGAAGACAAACAGAGAAAAGGTAGCTTGCTACAAGGGAAGTCCATTGGTTGTACTAGGCAAAGGACCTATAATTGCACCTACATTAACAGATGTTAATGTAAAGTGATTTTATCACAATATATTTATTGTTGTTGTGGCTTTGGTCAAATAAAGATATTGTTTTTACTAAAATGAAAATTAATTAATAAAAGCCTTGAAATAAAATAATTTATAAGCAATGTCAACAATGTATTTATTTTTTACACACCCTAATCTTTTAAGCAACAATTTCCTTTTAATATTATGTAGAAATCATATTTCCATTACAGATATTGTTTCATTTATTCAATGTTGAAATAAACCTTCCTATGGGTATTTAAAATTTCTTAAACATTTTCAAAATGTCTGCCATATTGGGTAGTTCAATAACAAATTTTAATTGAAAGATAAATATAAAAGAGCGAAAATTAAAATTGACATTTATTATTGTTGTTTTTATGCAAGCCCCTTATTCACTTGGAAACTCAAGTTTCCAAGTGAATAAGGGGCTTGTCATCAGTCTGTCCTTTTCATTCCACATAATAAGCAGGGCTTGTTTACCTGTTAATTTTCAAACCTAAATCAGTATCAAGTACATCAGGAGCGTTTTATTTAGATTTGGCTCTACCTTAACCTTAAAAAACCCGGTTTTCCTAAAAAGCGAAATCAATAGGTTTTTCATTTTTAAAATGTTTCATTTCGCTCTTACTGCCAGTATCGCCTTCGCCGTTTCAATTCAAATTTATAATGATTTTATGTCAGTTTCTTTCCAACTACAGAGCGAGTGAGTGGTGTGCCAGTACACAACTACAAAATGAATAACTTGACTCACTAGACGTTATCAAACGTGTCAATAAATGCATCAATCTCTGAGCATTAACAAATTGTGACTTGATTAGTTCAATCAAACAAAACAAACATAAGCGATGCCGACGCGTGCACGTGTCGCTCTGGATTAAACCGATTCATTAAGGTTTTTGGTACCGCTTTTATTTTACTAAAAACCGCTTACAAGCCCTGATAATAAGGACAGACTGTTTTCAAGTTTACGAATAGCCAAGTGAAGTCCCCATCCCATTATAATAATTTACCACTGAATGTATGAAAATAATCAATTTTTTGGATTGCTTAGCAAGATGACATAAAAATTTCAAAATAATAAATCCACATTGAAAGTTTTATTTCAAATGTTTTCGATATAGAAAAATAGATGACTGTTTTAATGCAACATTAACACCACAGAAAGCTTTATAAAATATTACTTTGTGGTCCTGTTTACAGCTTCCACTAATTTATATTTCATAATAAACATTAACAGATTATAACTTTAATTGTAATCTACAAATACAGTGAATTATTCATAGTAAAACTATCTAAATATTTTAAATATAATGTCTGTGAGGCAGTATGAAAATATTCCTTTAGTACTAGACAACAAGTTTGTGGGCAAGCTCTGTCCAATTCCATTTGGGGTGAAAGCACATACAACTGTATCTTTGTAGCAGAAAACGAGTTTTTGATGATACATTTTTCTTTCCTCATAAGATTTTGCCATCACTGGAAGAAGAAAAGCCAGAGTAGGTACTAGTTTTTGTTATACAGGCTACAATAATGCAGGAGTATGTGTTGTCTTCAATATCCCCATTTATTAAATTATGCTAATGCATTTATAATTAATTCACAATCACAATATGTATGCTTTTATCATAATAATTATTAATAATGTCTATTTAATGTACATTGGCTTGGGGCAAGGAAATTTTGGTGAAACTAAGTTTTGCCAAAGTGCTTGAGTTACAATGTAATAGATTAAAACTTTCTACATTTTAGTGCATAAAGTGTACATTTTATTCTATATTGTCAAATTTAATAATGTAAGCAGATAACTACCGACTAAGTATATAAAGTATGAAACTTTTGTACTATAGTATAAAATGTAGAAGATTTAGAACTATGTAAGTATCTCTAATTCATATATCACGAACCAGATAGACTTGATTCTGAGCAAAGGTATTTTCAACCGTTACCTACTTTAAGGCCCGTATTATAAAAAGATTATCAGTGTTGATCTAGTCTTGAGCACAGTTAGAAAGGGATGTCGCTATATATAGCACATAGCGGCACTAAGTAAAGATCAACACTTAGTTGTCCTTCTGTAATACGGGCCTTAATTTGTCCTACCGCATCGTTGATAATACGTGCGATCTTCATAACAATAAGTCCTGCATTGTAAATTTGTCATTGTCGGTAAAAAAACCGACACTTTTAAAGAGTTTACAATGACTTGTTTATTGATGTTAAATTTATTCCGCATTTGTAAATTACTAGCGCTATAAAAGCTGCATTTCATCTTGCTATAAAACAGATATTTAGCAGAATCATATATCATTCAATGTTATTAGTTTGTAGAGATGAATAGATAAAACAGTTGTGGTATAAAATAAGATTTTTTTAACGACTCACCTAGATTCAAGATTAAAAAAGATTTTCTCGATTTTCCTGATTAGGAATGGAACCTCAGATGGCTTTAACAAGAACGGTGCCGGCATGCTCATAAACTATCGGAATAGTGTTATTTTAGCGTAAAAACATTATCACCTGTTTGCTATTCATCATCATCACTAGCCCGATAATGTTCCCACAGCTGGGACACAGGCATTACCGCATTTAATGGAAGGAATAGGGACATAGCTGTCGATTCTGGCATGACAATCTAAACCTAAACTTAAATTTGACAACAGTGTATCCTTGTCATTCTCTTTAAGAAAGAAAAGAGACTGGTGTTAAATTTAGTTTTAATTTTGGAGAATCATGCCAGAATGGATACCATAATTTATATAATCTACCACGCGGGCTCAGTACGGGTTGGTGGGTGCTTGAGTACAACTGTAGATGCAATGAGGGGTTCGAGATAAAATACTTTATGATCACCCATCGTATGGCTGGTCATTGTGAAAGTTGCTCGACTTCCACAATCGAAACCGAACATGCTAGCCACTGCGCCATCGAGGTCCTGAGCTTGATATTAACTGCCTCAAAAGATATGAGTTTTTTTTTTGACAAAAATAAATACTTGTTACCGAAAACTAATGCGAACTACAAGATGGATACAGTCAATCACTTATTTATAAAGAGAAAAAGTGGACGTCTATGACATTACATTAAGTTAGTGTGAAGTGCACCAGATATGTTGTATAATAATTAATTATATAGTTAAAGAGGAATTCATTTTAATATTTATAAATTCTCTTCGTTAATTACCAATTGTCCTCTTTAAATTGTTTTATTTATCATTTTAAATATACAATTATATGATTTTCTCGTACAAGATCAATTCCTAAGATAATGAATAACTAATTGAATAAGTACATAAGTTTTTTTTTTATAAATAACTAGTACTCATGATTTCGAAATAAATTTGGAAAAATAACTAACTAAAAGGCTTGACAATGATTTTAACTTTTAGGCCTAAATTTGTACGTATTACCAAACCAATAATCTACAAATATTTATGTAAGCTTGGTAAAATACTAAACAAATACTTAATATTTTTTGAAAATTATAAAAAGAAACCTATCACGAAAGGAGATGACATACGAGTCCTTACCACTGTACTCATAGTTCTATGACTATTAATTTGATGTAGGTCCACTTGCAGAAGTTTTGCTTAATCTTAATTATGTATATTACGTCACATAAGGTATTTATTTCGTAGCTATTTCTATCTTATAAAGTATTTATTTTTAATAATCAGAAAGAAAGCTTTTAGCGTATTTCCTTATCACGTGCAATGCCCTTCTAAAAATTCAAAAATTAGGTACCAAATATTATGCGACGTAACCGTATTTTCATCGTGTAAAATGTTGTTTTTCTTGGGTAGGAGGAATTATAACTTCTCCGTCGAGTTACATTTTGTCATTTTTCTATGGGTTAAATCTCGTTTTAGTTGAATCAAGAGTTAGGAAATTTGCTGCAAGTGAGCCCTAATTAAGAGCGGTCGCGAGCTGAGAGACATTTGAGAAATATGTATTTGAAAAAACTATTGCTGTCACGCATGGGCAAATACCATGCGATAGGGACAACAGTAGTTAAGGCGGAAAATTGAGTATAAAATTACAAAATTCGAGGTTCCGCTCTCGAAAATTAGATATATGTAAAAGAAAATTTACACGAAGAATAAAAAGGAAGTACCTAGTGAAGCTATGCCTATATGTTTTTGTAAATGCTTATTATGTCTCCACACTTGACGTGTTTAGTGGAATTAAAAAATTGTTTATTTATGGCCTTTTTCGAGGGCTTCGAGTTTCTTTAAAATACAAGTGACCGAAAAAAGGAAGAGAAGATAGGAGCATAGAATGAGTAAAATTATATTTTATGTATAAAATTCTTTAGTCACAAAAATCAAGGAGGAATCGGTCGAGAACGTTTGTATTCTCCCAGATTTAGAAAATATATTTTCGAAAGAATGTATGGAATCATCTACTTTGGCGATACTTTTAGATATGAAAGAAATGTTAACAATACTCCATATACATAAATTTTCAAGAAAAACAATTTTAAAATTGTTTCTTTATTTTATAACTAGAGCACTATGGTCCAGATTAGCAGTATAACATATTAAAGTTTTTTATACATTACTTTACATATTAACTGTCGAGAGGCAAGTTCAAAAAAGGTTTGTTTTACGAAAATACTGCATTCATAGCATTAAGCAGTGCGTTAGCATGAGATCAGTTATAATCATCACTCCCATACTTTTTACTAGAGATGCGCCGAATGTCGGTTCAATCGAATACGAATGTTCGGCAGAATATTCGGTTCAAAATGTAGCGTTCAGTTCAGTTTTGCGCGGCAAATAGGTTTATACAAGTCCGTGCTGCACTTTACAAGAGCCGGGTGCGTTCTTATTATAATTATAAATATTTAATTCATGATTATTACTAAATAAGACTTACTATTTTTTCTGACTTCTTAATGGTAATTTTAATAACTAAATTGTCAATAAAAATTTGTTACACAAATAAGTGTGACTTTAATTTATAAAAGGTCAAAACTACCCGAAATCGGTGAGCATGTATGAGGACTGTAATGAGAGTAGATGAAGCGAAAGATGTATGTAAGGATCGTAGCTAGTGGAAAGAAGTAATCTCTACCTAGTTACCCCTGTGGGAGAAAGGCGTGACTTTATGTATGTATTCATTTATAAAAACTGTGCACCAACAATTCTCACAATGAACCATACCTTTTTAATTAAACTTAGTTATGAAAGGAAAACATTGTTTTGAAATAATAATAATAATTTAATTATTCGGTAATCATTCGGCACATCAACCGAATATTCGGCCGAATACGAACTTTAAAAAATATGCCAAATGTACCGAATACGAATATTCGGCGCATCTCTACTTTTTAGGAATTTCCAAATGAATTAAAAAAACAATATTCATCGTCATCGTCTTAATCGTATTACAATTATTCTTCTAATAAAACTAAATTGAATACAATGACTAAATAGAACTCTTTGGTCGGGACCATGACGACAAAGCTACATTATTATAATGTACTCTAACTAACATACAACAGATTTTCAACCACCACCTACATTAGAATACCTTAATTTTATGAAACCAATGAAAATGGCACCCAAGATTTAACGGTACTAATAAAAATATAAAATTAAATTAAGTAGTATGCATAGTTAATTTGATAATAATTATAGGTTAATAATATATAGAATATCTATACTTACTCTTTAAACATACATTAAGTAAAGCACGTTTTATTATGATTAGATCAATTAACAATGTTAGGCCTTATAGATATGAAATTAAATTGATTTTGGAAAATGGATATGATATTATACAGTTGAGGCTTGATTAATTAAAACTAATTATCATCATAATTCATCCGCATAATTATTGATACTAAAAAGAATGAAGATTGTTTGTAATCTAAAATATTGATGTGCAAATGCTGTTACCTATACAAAAGTTAATGATAGCAATTACATATTAAAATCAACAAAAACCAAGGTTATATTCATTAAAAAACATTTTTGTATACATGCAAGTTATTATTGTTTTCGTGGTTGTAAAAACAACTTTCGACCAAGCACAGTCTTTGATAGATCCGTAATCGTGTCGTCGTCTTAGTTTGTATGAAAGGAGCCAGTTTGTTCATACGTCCAGTAGAGGCGCTGCTTAGTTTTCGTAGGAACTTTGAACAAACAAAATTCATGCTTGGGGCTCAGATAATATATATTTATAGGATAGCTGAGATTAGAATAATCGACTCTTTTCTGTATTAGCTACTAATGACCTACAAAGCATATTTGATGTATTAAATTACATTTGATACATTATTATTTGATTAAGATGTAAAAAAATAAATATACTCTAGTTACGGGTATCAAAAATAAAACAGTTGCTTGATCCAGGTGTCTTTACCGAACTGACAAGTTTCACGATTTGTCCATATGTACATACAGTGTTACAAACATATTCATAATGGAAATTCAATAAACTGAACATGCTACTCACTTATTATTTTATTAGTTATTACAATAATTAAGTTTTCTAAACATCCATTGTACAGGCTGGGCGTTATATTTGGTATATAAAGGTGGAAAAGATCCTTTGGACTACAATAACCAATGGTATTTGACATAAAAGATTCAAATCCATTTTGTCAGCGTCTTCTGGCAGAGTAAGCCCAAGGTTTACTGAAACAGCTAGTTCCAGGATAGCAATAACTAAGTAAGGCAATGCAATGGCCGTTACAAACATATAAATATTTTCCTGCGTGACCAAAAGATAGATTATTTCCAATCAGTCAAGACACCATAATCGGGTGTTTAAGTACATCCAGTTAATTTGATAACATACTTTTAATGCATTTATTAGATTGGAATCTATAACTTGGCTTGGGTATAATTGGTTTTTGTAAAGGAATTGTATCAAAGTTTTGACAATAGAGCTGATTCTACCACCCACTGCCTAAGATTATTCTTAGATACAGGATGTACAATCATTGTTAAGGGTAAAATGGAATAATGATTTAAAAAGTTATTGTTTACACGCGCTAATATCGATATAATTCAATAGCTTTAAAGTAAAATCTCACTAGACATTTTTGGGGCAAAAGATGTGAGCAATTTGATTACAGTTTTAACACGCAAATATAAAAAGTTACTTACCCAAAAATAAATTCATTGTGTCTTTAGTATGGATCCCAAATAAAATCAAAGTAGGGAATTAGTAACATAATAACAACTTTGGTGTTGCTTAAATATAAGGTTTTGATTGACAAGCTTTGCTGATTGGTTATGACTTATTGTACAGTATCAAAATATCTGTTAAAATTAAAAATTTTGTTAAGTAATTGTAACGATAACATCTTATTTCATATTGAAATTTCTTCCAGCAGGCCCGCTAAATAAAAATAAAATATAAAAAAGGGTTTTTTATTAGTGTTGAGCATGAAACTGAAGGAAAATGATGAATGAAAATTTCTTCTTTATTTCTATTTTACAGTGATAATCTGTTAAAATATTTTACCTAAAGCGTTTGTAATAGAATTTTTCATACTTTTTTTTTCAGTGCAAATGCACAGCACGGGATAGATCGAAATATAACTATAGAGCAAATTGTCCATATGCAAAAAGTAGACTTGAGCGAGTTTATTACAAGCGAAAATTCATCAAGTAAAAAAATACTCAATATCTAATTCAGTTAAGTCTTACGAATGTGATTAGAAATGTTTCCCATAAAAAATCTTGTTTTTCTAATATAAATAAATATTTTTTCGGAAATTCTGTTTTCAACCAACTACATAGCTAAATTGAACTTTATATCTATTAGTGTTTGAGAATATAATATTTTTTTTAATTAAGATGGCGAAATTCACAGCAACGCTTGTCAAACACCTTGCTTGTCAATTTAATTTTTAATTGAAAAGAAATGTAACATTCCCTTTCATAATCCTTATACTAATTATGTATAATTTTATTCTAATATTAATGGATACTGTATTACAAAAATATAAATAACATCTCATTTGAAGATGATATCTAAATAATAGACAACATTGTCAATACCTAAAATAGATAATTTCAGGGAAGTTTTAATACTGTATAAAAATAAATTATCCACATAAATATAGAAAAATATGGTGGTGCAGATTTTGTGACAAATGCAGTTAAATAGTAAAAAAATATTGCACTACCTTAAAACTCGAATATAGGCGAAAAAGCAATACGTACGTTTTTATTATCTAATGGCACAAATAAGACTAAAAAGTAAACAAGGTGGGTAGCAAAGTAATGTTTTTAGAAATGTAGTGTATATCGCTTAAACTATACATTTTTGAAGGAAGACAAATTTGATGTATATAAATAATTCTATACTCTTCTTACATGCAAAATGTCTACGATATGAACTAAAAAACAAGACAGTGGAATGTTTTACAAATACATATGAATATATTCGTTCATAAAATGCAAAATTCTACTCGATTAAGTATAATAACAACTTTCATAATTATAATTGATTCAACCAGTCGAATTTCTGGAAACAAGTCAAGCGCGTCGTAATATTCTTTTTTAAAGTAGCATAAATGCTATTTCGATTTACACATATATTTGTCGATACCTACTACGGTATAAAAATCGTGATCGAGTATTGTTTCTGACTGACTCTTAAAACAGTATCTCCGTTTCCGTTTTCGAGTTCACTTACCGCGCTGCGTTTTAGCTGGAAGTTCAACGGTTTCTCTCAAAGTCGTTGGACTGTTCTTTATAGCCGGTGGGAATCAATTAAAGCTGCGTTGGTGGGAAGCGACGCTGCGGTTTGCTGCGACGTTGTGCCAGCGTCGACTGTGACACTGGACCGAGTATTTGAGGTGTCAACGGGGAAGCAGTCATAGCCTGCATCAAAAAGAAATAGAAAAAATCATAACACAACTGACATAATGTTCATATTTTATTTATTTTAAACACACCAATTAGCCTAGCCCCAAAGTAAGCACTGTAAGGCTTGTGTGATGGGACACTAGGGTAACGGATTGAATACATATACTGTACTGTGATGTGAATTTTAATCTTGACAGGTGAGTTTCGGTTTCGGCCGAAACTGAAGCCATGGCCGAATATTCGGTTTCGGTTTAGGCCGGAAAACCAGTTTCGGTCGGACTCTACTTTTTATTATATATGGCCTATTCTGTGCGGATGGCGCTTTCGGAGCAAGGCGTAGAAAACGATTATATACAGGTAATAAAAAGTATTTATAACAATAATATAGGGAGAGTTAAATTGGAACGTGACGGCCCAAGCTTTCCCATTAAAAGAGGAGTGAGACAGGGCGACCCGACCTCCCCGAAGCTGTTGCCACTGGAGGCCACTGAGGAGCTGAAAGGCTATCTTATGACTACCATACAGGATACTCAGTACTCGGCTAGCCTCCCTGGAGGAGAGGCTCCAACCGCCTGAATGACTAAGATCACCTTTGGCAGCCGACGGAGAAATTGGAGTTACCAGTGACGACGTAGAGTACAGCTGTGCGTCACACCAAGAAGGCGCCCAAACAGAAGAGACCTGCGGTGCAGCCTAGGAAGCCTAAGAGCAAGAAGGGTACAAAGGTGAAAAATAAGGAGGGGCCGAAATTGAAGGTGCCGAGCACTGCAGCCGTGGCCCTGAAATTGAAGCCAGCTGCCCTGAAGAGAGGTTTCACCTATACGAACGTGGTGGAGATGGAAAAGACATCCATCTCCCGCTGCTCTACCCGTTCTAGGGTTTGAAGTGAGGGCCAGGTCGCTGACTCTTCGGCGGGTGGCCCCACGCACGCGAGGCTGGCCGTCTGCCCGGGCTGTAAGTGTAGTATAGTGGGTAACTATGTTATTATTTATATAAAATACAAGGGTATGCCTCGAACATGTGTGTGTGTTGTCTTTACGTCCAGTAGTCGAAATATAGTCACGAAATCAAACAGTCGTATTATTTTCCACCTAAATCTCAAGATATATTAGTGGCGACGAGGATTAAAATTAAGTTATTTAACGATGTCTTTCGGTAAAATTAATGATTTTGACGTGCATTCCGGCAACTGGTCGATGTATATCGAACGTTTGGAGATGTACTTCAAGGTGAATAAGGTGGAAAAAGACTTGTGGCTGCCTACGTTGATAACAGCGGTAGGTGACGAAACATATGAATTACTGAGTAGCTTGGCCAGCCCTGCCAAGCCGTCGGAGCTAACGTACGAAGCGGTGGTGGTACTTCTGGGTGAACATCTGCAACCGCGACCGTCGGTGATGGCGGAGCGCTATCGTTTTCGGCAGAGGCGACAACAGGCGGGCGAAACAATCGCACATTATTTGGCAGAGTTGAAGAAACTATCCAAGTATTGTGAATTTGGGAACAGCTTGGAAGATAATTTGCGCGATCAGTTGGTTTGTGGGGTACTCAGTGACGTCATCCGGCAACGCCTATTTGCGGAAGACGATTTGAAATTTAAAGGTGCCATGTAATTGGCTTGCGCTCTTGAAGCAGCGGAACGGGATGCTGCGGTTGTGGACATGTCAGCTGTGGCAGGCAAGATTGGCACGCTGGAGGATGCACACAAAATAAGAACGCGGAAGGAACGCGGGCTACAGCGGTCGGCGTTAAAGTCCGGAGACTGCGAAGCCTGTGGGATTGCAGGACACGATACGGAAAGATGTCGATACAAGACATTCGTGTGCAGCAAGTGCAAGAGGAGAGGTCATTTACGGCGGGTGTGTCCGATAACTCGAGCTGAGGGTAACCGCGGTGGAGGCCAACGCCGGCTCAATAATGTGCAGTCATCCAGCGTCATCGAAGGTTCGGATGAGGAACCGTTTTCCGAGGAAGTGGAAGAGGAGTTTCATCAGCTGAGTTTAAACAGTTATAAACCAGTAAGTTTATTAATCGATGTTAATGGAATTTCATTAAAGATGGAGGTAGATACAGGCTCTGTTGTTTCTTGTATAAGCAAACAAATGTATGAAAAGTATTTTAAAAACATGCAGATTGTAAAGAGCAAAGCGATTTTTAAATTTTATAACGGTAGTACTGTTAGACCGTTAGGTGTTATTTTTCCAAAGGTAACATACAAAAGAATATCGAAATGTTTGGAATTGTTTGTAATCGGTGGGGGAACCACTGCCTTATTAGGGAGGCAGTGGCTATCAGAGTTAAAAATTAAAATTCCATTTTTGAACAATAATTTTAACAATATGGTGTTAGGAAATAAATGTGCGTATACTGATAACAATTTAAACGTGTTGATCGGCAGATATGAGCAGTTGTTTAGCGGCGGGCTGGGTCGGTTCACGGGCGGCAAGGCTCAGTTGCGAGTGCGGGAAGGGGCGACGGCGGTGTTTTGCCGCGCGCGGCCGCTGCCCTACGCACTCAAAGGGCAGGTGGACGCGGAACTAGATGCGATGCTGCGGGATGGTATTATTGAGCCCGTCGATAGCTCGGACTGGGCGACGCCGTTGGTGGCGTTGGATGGCGGGTTACGTATTTGCGCGGATTACAAAATAACCGTTAATCCGGTCTTACTGGTCGACAGATATCCCTTACCTAAAATCGACGATTTGTTAGTGAGACTCAACGGTGCCCAGCTATTTTCGAAAATTGACCTTTCTCAGGCGTATAATCAGATTGAATTAGGTAACAGTAAAGATTTTACAGTAATTAATACACACCGAGGTTTGTTTAAATACAATAGGTTGGTTTACGGCCGGGCATTTTTCAAAGAATAATGTGTAAGCTACTCGGTGATATATCAGGGGTAGAAATATTTTTAGATGATATTATAATAGGAACAAAAGGGGGTATATTGGAACATTTAACTACTTTGGAACAAGTTTTTAAAAGATTGCAAAATCACGGCATAAAACTAAAGAAAAGTAAGTGCTCATTTTTGGTGGAGCAAGTTAAATACTTAGGTTATATCATATCCAGCCGTGGAGTTACGGTGGATAGTGACAAAATAGACGCTATTACAAAAGGCCGAAGGATATTTCTCAATTAAGGTCGTTTTTAGGTTTAGTAAATTTTTATGCAAAGTTTGTTAGAAATATAAGCGCGATACTGTATCCTCTTTATGAATTATTAAAAAAACGTGGAACTGGACACGGAAATGTGAGGAAGCGTTCATAAACATAAAAAAATATTTTAACAAGTGCGGAGGTGCTAGTGCATTATGATCCTCAAAAACCCTTGACGCTGACCTGCGACGCTAGTGCTATAAGCATAGGCAGGGTGCTCACTCAGCCGGTGGCGGCGCGGGCGACGGGAGAGGGGGTCGCGGAGCGGCCGGTCGTTAACGTGTCGCGCGCGCTCATAGCGGCAGAGAAACATTATTCACAAATTGATAGGGAGGCGCCCGCGATTGTGTTTTGCTTACAAAAGTTACATCAATATTTGTATGGCAGGCGGTTTACGCTTAAGACGGATTATAAGCCCTTAGCATTTTCGGATCTAAACATGGGATACCTACGATGGCCGCCAGTCGTATGCAGCGATGGGCGATTATAATGTCTGCCTATACTTATGATATAGAATACGTAAACACGAAACAAAACGCAGCGGACGGGTTATCGCGGTTGCCGGTCGACGTTAGTGGGGATAGGAGTAAGGACTTGTCACTCGAGCCGCCAGAGCAAACGTATTTACATTTTGCACAGAATGAATTGTTATTAGATTATAATGTTATTAAACAACAAACTTCACACGATCCATTTTTAAGCAGAATATTGATGTATATTCGAGAAGGCTGGCCTGAAAGTAATGAAATTAAAGAGTTACAACCGTACTTTAATAGAAAAAAGAATTGTATGAGGAACTGGGTTGCGTTATGTGGGGTTATCGAGTGATTATACCTGAACGGTGTAGGGATCGCGTTTTGAAGGAGCTACATGCGGCGCACATGGGCATGAGTAAAACTAAATCTATGGCCCGGAGCTACGTGTGGTGGCCCGACCTCGACGAAGCCCTGGAATCGATGTGCTCCAGCGGCGGAGGCGGATGCGCCGCGACGTCACTCGGTAGCGCAGTGGCCGTGGCCGGCAAAGCCGTGGTCCCGGATCCATTTGGACTTTTTAGGGCCATTTCAGGATAAATTATATTTAATATTAGTTGACGCTAGAACAAAATGGATAGAAGTTTATCCTGTTCCGAGTACGGCAGCTAAATATTCTATTAGCAAACTAGAGGAAGCCTTTTCGAGATGGGGTCTCCCAAGACAATTAGTGACCGATAATGGTCCTCCTTTTTCGAGCAGTGATTTTTCTAAATTTGAATGTTTATACTATTTTTTTTTGTTCTGTTCTTTATTATAATGTTTAATTTTTATTTTAATATTATGTGAATGATATATTGTGTACCCATGTTTTTCTTTGTATACTTAATCTATTATCTCAGTATTGTAACATTTTAGAGGGAGGGACTGTAGTATAGTGGGTAACTATGTTATTATTTATAAAAAAAAGGTAAATTTAAAAAATCAAAAAACCCGACTGCTTAATTATACTTCAAATAAAAACTGAAAAGAGAAAAACAAGTCCAGTAGTCTATAATTCTGTTAATAAGGAACAAAGCTACTTTAACAGTCGGGACCCACTGTTGAAAAATATTATGTATTTGTAGCAGCACACAATAATAACACAACACAGAAGTTAATCCTTTTATTCAAATGACGAAACACCGTCCAGGAAATAGTGATGCTGAATAATTCTTTGGTTACATAGCTCTGAAAAGAGCTTTCGTGCGAAACACAGATTATTTGGCTACATAGCTCTGAAAAGAGCTTTCGTGCGAAACAACGCTTCACTCTCGGCTATCACTACAGCTTCACGATCACCGCATCTCTTCAAGCAGTCGCCGCGGCACGCGGCACGCCGTCC